AATTACAATAATTAACATTCAGGCAATATCTAGGTATCCACATAGGAGCTCATATGTTAATGGAGGTCGAACAATTTTATCCAGTAAAACAATGGTGAATTATAAAGACATCAATAAATAGTAATAACTTATACCCGTCGTACAAGAAATCGCTATCGTTCCTTTCCGGCCTAGTGGATAGTGCCTTATCTTTCGAAGCGATGGATACGAGGTTCGAGTTTCAGTGGGAATAACATCACTCAGGTACGTGAAGCTGATGAGTGCCAAACAAGACGAAACACACGTCCTGGATTCCTCTGCTAGTCACAACCAAGCAAATTATCGTAATTATTGCAGAAAATATGTGAAATATTCCGTTAAAGGTTTTCATAGCTAAGGATACAACTCTTCTGATAGCATTTTTTGCTTGCTGAAATAGGTTTTTCGCAATAATAGGGATAATATTAACAATAATAATTCAGATATTAACTTCAATACAATTTGGCAAAGAATTTATAAGCTTTAACTCAGTCAAATTAGCAGATTACCCTAATTTTCAGTACACAAAATGTCGGAAAAAAGATGCAATAGTCTTTAATTAGTCCGGTTTGAGTATCAGCACGAATCTGCCTATAGGATTTATTCAGCGCAGCTATATATGGCATCAAACACATCGAAGTAATAAAGTACAAACTCTCCTTCTTGTTTGCTGATTCTCCTTGATAGCCATTGTCTTTCCGTGAGTCAGCTTTGATGAAATATATCAGAATATCGACAAAGTTTCTGTCATTCAGTGTCTAAAACGAATATTAAAGTATTTCCAATGTTCTACATAAATTCAGATTCAAAAATTTTCCTTGTATTAAATTTCAACAAAACTGAGAACTCTAAATCTTGATTTCATCAGTTTCACAACCACTACAACTTACTACTTTTTTGATACTGAGTGACAATTGAAGATGAAATGAAAACATGAACAGTGGACTAATTGGAACCAGTGACCACTAGGCCGGAAACCGGGTGATAGCTGATATGAATCAGGCTACGGTCCAAATTTTCATTTCATCTTTAATCATCATGTAGGATCAATACTAGTCTGCCAAACCATGACTATCTCAGATAGTCAAAGTGATACTACTTTTTTGTTTGAACTCAAGCTTTCCCATTAAATAGGCATTAATAATCCATAAAAAACCGTACCAACCATTGTTATAACTTGATATCTTATATAATCCGTATCCTGATATACCTTGATAAATATTTGCGCACTTGTGATCATATTTCCCTTCACTTGTTCCTTAGTTCATCGAAAAGAATAAAGATGTTAAGACAATGAAAATTTTATCGTAAACTTTATCGTGTACAAGACGCTCGGTTATTAACACATCTAAAGGTGGCTTAAGAAGTTCGGAAGAATTACAGAATGCGGTAACCATTGGTCTTTACAAATGTACTCACAATTAAATAGCTTCATGTTTTAAATAACATAGCTGGTTTCACATGAATCCTGTGATTATTTGTTTGACTTCTTGAAGGATCCAGGGAATAGACACTGTACATTCTGACAATACTGCCTTGTAAGTTACTCGACAATTAACTGACTCTTTTATGAAAAGAGTGAGTATATTAGTCACCAAATACTAAAGGATATCCTTTTATCTGGTTAACGGTGTTGGTGGAGTTCTATCCATCAAAACTGAAACATATTACGCCCTAAGAACTAAACAGTTGACACTAATTACTATCGGCTAACAAGTTAGCGCATATATTTCAGAGTTTTAGGAAAGCATTGACTTACTGAATACCTTAACAGTGTTCTCAATAAATATGGTGATTCCGCTTTAATTCGATCTGAGGTGGTGTCAATTCCTTAAACGATGTTGTTACATATTATCTGCTAAACTTAGATAAGAAGTCTTTCATCTATTTTATCTAAATCAATCAATGTTCAACACTTTAAAAGTTCTCTAATGTACCTAGAACTTTATTTATCTCATGTTCATTAAAGATTTCAACTTGTTATGCCCACCCGTATTTATTACCAGTATGAACATCCGAAACAGTGTGTTATACAGCTTTTAGTTCCTACGAGGTTAAATTAAAGTAAATCCAGTTAAATAAATCATTGTCGCGCTAAATCTCAGTGTATTTCCTCTTACAGAAAAATGTCCGGCTAGCACGGAGTAAACTTTAACAGTAAGCTTATGTTTGTATGAATCCTGGTACTTCTTCCGTTGATATTAAAGTCAGAGGACAAAACTTCCAGTTGGTTAATCTTACTGTGTGAAACTGATATCAATAAACTATTCGTCAAATCCACACACTCACTTTTTTCAAAATGTGGTCGTTTCAGTTAGACATAAGCAGTAATATTTCCTACAGTTGTTTGTGTATTTTGCCGTTGAACACAATATATGTACAATGCATTTTATCAGCAGATTTGAATTACTTCCAAAAATTATCCTCTCCCAACTTTTACTATCATCCAGGAACCATCATTGGCATATTCGAATTATAACGTTCTGGTATCCTTTTACCTGAACTATTCACAACAAATGTGAATGGTTCCTAATAATAGTTTACGCTTAAATTACTAATGCATACAACTCATCGGAACTAATACACACTATGTAACTGTATGAACAATGATCGGTTAAATATATTAATGATGGATAGTGGCAATCAGTGGGATCCTGGACTCTAGTTTTGTCCCATTTGGGACTCGTCAGCTGAACGTACCTACCTCTCAGTGAGTGATGTTGTTCCCACTAGAATTCGGATTAAGAACCTATCGCTCCAAATACCAGAGCGTTATCCACTAGACCACTGAGCCACGATAGCCATTTCTTGTGTGGCGGGTACAGTTTTAATGTTGTCGTTTATATTATCCTGTCATTAAGTGGACCGAATTCGATCGGCATCTATTGGCATATGAGCTTTTGCGCGGATGCCCTGATATTGCCTTTGTTTTAGTTATGCATGTTATTGATAGATAGTGGCTAGCAGTAAAGTCCAGGAAACGCGTTTTGTCCCATTTGGGACTCGTCAGCTGAATGTACCTGCTTCCCAGTGAGTGTTGCTCCCACCGGGACTTGAACTCAGGACCGATCGTTTCGAATGCCAGGCATCCGTGTGGGAGCTCATATACCAATAGAAACCGATCAATTCAGTTCAATCAACGATGGTGTGATGCAAGCAATAACACTGATGAGTGGTTAAGTGCCCAGCGTTCTCTAAACTTTCTTGCTTCTCACCATACGTTTCATCATCAAACTAGACGACTTCATCAGCACAGATCACAGATGTCTTCGTGGCATTTCTAGCGTTTGGTGGAAACACCGTGTGACTAGTGTGGAGGTCAGGAGTAGAGTACTAGACAGGAAATACAAGTCAGTGGATGAGATTGTAAACCTTCATTGCGCACTGTAGAATACCACCTACCCCTATGTACCATGCTAGGGCAAGTTGTATTGGGTTAGCAGAGGATTCAAGATGGCTAGACCATGACGTGATACCTGTCCACGAAGACCCTAACTGTCAATCTGAGTCATGTTGGGAAATAAAAACTGCCTGGTTGGGGCCACTGAGACTATAGTAATCAGTGATTGAGGACTGACACGATGATATGGCTGGAAACTGACCAGAATGATGCAGATGTATTCACTCTTTGACGTCTTCTAGAGCTTAGATATTTCCGCCAACCGTTACCTTCAAATTGTTTATTCTGTCACATGACTTTGTCTAGTTTGATATCGCTCTTTTTCTGTCTACCTGTTCTTAGTGTGCTACTGTGAATTGTGACAACTTGAGACGATGCGCTTATGTGCAAGATTTTACGTTTATCTTGTTTGCCTAAAGAGAAATTCCCACCAGCGATGACGAACGACGGTCATACTATACTGTCTATACTGAACTGATTTTAAATATATTGGATTACGATCAACGGAATAGCTAGTGATGTATTTGCTGTGGGACTCTACAATCATGACCTCACTATAGTTTCGAATCTAGTGAAGATTATGTACCGCGAAATAGCTACATATGGGAACTCTAACCATTAAAATTTTGGTGTAGCACTTTACGGACACCATCATCTTTATCAAGAATCAATTTATTGTACAAATTTTTGGAGGAGATTAAGGACGCATACTGTTTAAATTTTTGGATATAGACTGAAATTTCATGTTATTTTGCAGCTGTTTTTTGGTTAATAATATTGATCTTTGGAAAACTTTAATGGGATTCGTTATACAAATGAAGCTGCATCAATTTGCTTTCCTGATCAAGAACTTTTTATAGCTGTAAAGAAACGCATCATTTCCATAAGTTTTATGCTATCTAAACATAAATGTAAAGTGATTTCTGGGATTTTGTGAAGTGGAACATCCCTGTTTCGAATAAATTCACTCCGTATCTAATTTGTTTGTATACACCCTTAATAAATATGAACTTCTCGTTTACCCTGTATTTTCAAGTAAGCTTCCTCACTGGTAGGCCATATGCATCAGTTATCTAAGGATATAGGAATTTATAAATAGTAAGTTAACACGTAAAGGAGAATTGAAGACGTCTTTTAAAGATCCGTGATAAACCTTAAGCTCCTATATACTAGGGACTAATTCAGAAAGATACGTGAGTTCATGGTAGATCCTCCCATCGAACAACTGGCTGTGATAAATGTTGAACATCATTAGGCGGTGAGTCAACAGATATATGCGGTTAGTACCACATTGATGAAACAGACATCCGACGAAAAAGCAGAACAAAATAACTAAGATCTAATATCAGTATATGCAAAAGCTTTCGTATAGAAACGATGACTGTAGACAAGCCATAGTGTCTAAATAAATCCGTCGTCACCAGTTGAAGTATTGTGGTGAAGAAATACAAGCTTGTGCGTACTTTAAGGATACTTTCAAAGGAATTTTAAAAACTATTTTTTAAGTAAAATGTGGTTACTCATGAGTAGCAAGAAACATAACTTCAAAATTAATGTTCACTTATATTTTTCATAATTTTAGGTTAAATTCAACAAAAGAGGAACAAAACTACGTAGAGCAAGTAGACAATTACGTCGTGTCACTCCAGATCATATAACATATCTAGACGAGTCTTCAAACTATTGTGAATATGATCCAATCACTCAGAGTCCAGGTACACGAGGTCGTGAATGCTTACCAAATAGCACTGATCAGGCCAGTTGTACTACTCTATGCTGTAATCGTGGCTCACAAACACAATTACGTGAAGTACGTGAAAAATGTCATTGCCAGTTCAACTGGTGCTGTCGTGTTGAATGTCAAACATGCGTGAAAACAGAAGAATATCATATATGCAACTGAAATAATCAACAACAAAAAACATAAACTATTTCTCGATCTTAAAATATAATTATTTATATCTTCCGTCTTCTTCATCTCTCTGTTGAACTTCTTCCTACCTCATCCTATATGACCATTGCAATAAAACTTTTGAAATATATCTGTTCTCAAGATGAACGTTATATAATGTCTTCTGCTTAAACTAAACCATTAGGTTTAGTGGATTCAGCCCCACTTAAAAGCAAGGTAAATACTGATTTAATATATATAAATATGTTTCACGAACAACTTCATTCAACCTTATATTTCTTTAATTTAGCAGCCTGTTTGTTAATAGAGAGGGGCTGGATGACGTATACTGCTGATACTTGATGCATGTGAAAGCCTTTCGGCTCCAGCGCAATTCTTACATCATATAAAAACTATACAAAAGTCCATACCATTTATCATCTGTCGATTCTCCATAATCATTATCATTTCCAACATTCAACAAACACACATACACACATAAATAACTTGTAGATACTGATCATATTACTTGGTAGCATGATACTTGAAGAACATAAGAAATACAAATCATCATCTGTATCTTTCTTTGCATATTCCTCTGTTTTGTTTCGTTTATTTTCGCATCTTTATTAAATGCGTGATAAAGTATACATACACATATTTAGAAGTGTGATGTTTGTTTTAACTGACTATAAAAAGTATTGAAAATTGAAAAATGATACTTTTATCCCTCATTTTTATTGGTAAAATTCATATATTTTACTGTTTATATTTAACTGGCGAACTTTTTACTAATTATTACAAATGTTAAGTTATATAATTTTCATAATTTGTTATAATCAAAATAAATATTTTAAAAGATACTTGTTTAGATTGATTCATACTTCTAATTTCCCTTTGTTGTACTGAAATGGAGTGATCCACCTCTGTTGGCAGATGGGCTATGATACAAATGCTTCGACATTATCCGAATATTGACTCCAGTACGACTGACTTAGTGGTGGTTAGCAGTAGAATGTAAGACACAAGTTCTATGCTATTTTAGACTCGTTGGCTGGATGCACCTGCACCCCAGTGTGCGATGGAGTTCTCATCACTTCAAACCCTAAAGCCTTATCCACTAGGTCACTGACGAAACGTGTTCCATGAATTCCATTCCCAGACACTACCAATTCAATTATAATACTTAGTATTTTAAGCAGGATTTATTGAATTCATGAATTTCAATAGAACTCTTAAGCTTTTTACCCTACACACATGATTGTATATACTGTTGTGTCATAAAGGAATACATACACACATAATACAGACTAAGATATTGACTGAGGCATGACAACATGAAGTAAGTCACTTACTGACTATGCAGCTAAGCAAGTACTTCTGAGCACCACTAGGCGGGTGTAGTAGCAATCAGGAAAAGACGACTCCAATCCTTGACACATCTAACTGTTTATGCTAATTTGAATGTAATTGTGGAAGTGAGTACATAAATCGTACAGAAAAGCGTCTGTCTACCTGCATGGTTGAGCATTTACCTTAATGGTTGAGGTAACCCGAGTCAAAATTCCGGCGGAGTTGGATTACAAAACACCGAATGGATTATTGACATGATGTTGACACCATTGAAGCCCTCTCGGTTGTCAGCAGATAGCAGAATAAGAAAATGCTTGCAAATGTGGAAGTATATGCGACTAGAGTTCGTAAGCTGAGCCTATGTGTAGAGAAAGAGATGGTAGTCCCCTTGAATCTACCATGGTAGAGGTGTTGAAGTATTTTGAACCTATATGTTTTTTTTACTAATAAATGTCTTATTTTTTCCACTTTATTTCTTCCCATACTTTGCATATTTACATCTTTACTATCATTCTGCTGTACTATTGTGTCGTCTTGAACTTCTTCGCTCACTGGTCAAATGACTTATCTCCATCTTTATCATCATTGTTATCGTCCATCTATTACTCTAGCCTCCTTTACCAAACTTCCCGATTGATGTTCATTTACCTTGTTTCAAAATGACGTAATTTCCAATCTTTTCGATATTCATATTCTCATTGTTACCATTACCATTATTATCACTCATTCGTATTATTACTATAATCAATATCTTTGTTTACCTAACACCTATGCTCTCCTTTTAGAGTGCACCTTTATCAAGCTATCTAGCTGACTATTAATTGTTCTGTTCGAAATGATGTAATCCATCCCTAGTCCTTTTATTTCTCACTATCATTTCGCTACCTCCTTCTAACCAAATCTTAGCTCTATTTGACATAAGTAAGTGGTTCATTACGTGCTGTCACACCTCAGTCAATGTTTTAGCCTGCTGTATTATGTGTGATTGTATTCCTTTATTAGACAACAGTATATAAAATCATGTATGTAGCGAAAAAACCTGAAGAGTCCTACTGAAATTTATGGGTTCAATATATTCTGCTTTGATTACGTTTGTTGCTTGTTTTAAATTTGTATCGGGAAACAAATTTTTTCACTCAGTGCTTAATTATCAATCAATGAAGTATGACTCCCGTTCATCCATAACACCTAAACGTTTTCACTAATTACTTAGTCAAAGTTATTTTGTTTTAGACGATCAAAATTGCAACATTGAAACGTTCACAACATGGTAAAGAAACCTGAGCCATGGATACTTGTTTACCTTTTGAAAGTGAATGAGAGATAATTCACCAACGAAACTCTATCTGATATTGGTCTCTGGGTATTTCCTAACTCATGAGTATGCAAAGATTTATCTAAGAGTCCAGTCTATAGGCTGCATATTCTAAATTAATGATGGTTCAATGTCCTCTGAGCCTTGGTATTTTGTCGTGAACGTTTCATAACTATGTTTGATGACATCATCAACAGTGATTTCGTATACATTCGTATCGATTCCTAATCTTCCCTAACCCTACAACTGCATGATACTAACGGTCAATAAGGCACTACCTAAGCATTTATGGAATATTCGAGTATGCTGCACTTTTTTATGAAGTTAGCGTTGAGGATAACACTAAGCCTGGTGTAATGAAACTTTCACGACAAAATACCAAAGCACATAGAACACCAAATAGCCATCATCCTCATCTTGAACTACAAATCGTTTCCATCATTTCAGATTTCAATAACAACACGAATGAGCTGTCTAACTTCACGCGAAGTGAATGTCATTATAAAGGATATACATATATGGGGTGACAACAGAATAATAAGCCTGGAACTAGACATCTAAAACAATTTTCTGGAAACTTCCTACATTACTTTCTTCATATTACATAAAATATTAATCAATTAGTCTTATAGTCACAAATGCTTATTATTTGACTTAAAGTTATACTGATATGCCGAAATGGGATTTATTATTATTTCTCCCTTAGGTTCCTGTGGGACATAGGGCTTCAGTAGCACATCGCCACTTTACGCTGGAGTCTTTTGAACCTGGCTCCACCACCGCCCACAAGCTTTCTTTCATTTCTTACTCACACCATCTCCTCCATGTCACCCTAGCTTCCGATGCCCAACTCGTCGTTTCACATTCCGGTTCCACTCGACGGCCTGGCGCGTGATATCCCCAAATAGCCTTCTCAGTGTATGTTCAATCAAATCCATTTTCACTTCCTTCTTCCCCATATTTGGTGGGTGATAGCTTCTTCGTTAATTCGCTGCCAAATTTCCTAGTTGCTTATTCTTATTATTCTGGTCATCTGATCTGATCTTCACTATTGAGTGAGAGAGCTTAGGCGGCAACTGTTGATCGATGCTTGTATCCAGTTTGTTGAAAATGCTTTTCGTTACGCACCGCCAAATCTTTCAACCATCACATAAAAGCACTGACCGATTTGACTGACATTAGTGTTGAAAATTCGGATGTTGTTCACGTTTTATGCTGAGTGCAGTACAGTGCAGTGGAGTGCAGTGCAGTGCAGTAGATCTCCACACTGATTTCAGATTAATGAAGGAAGGCCTGTTTTGCTGTCTTTCCGATTGTGGCTTTGACATCTTCACCTGTGCTGTTGCTGCCTGTAGTCGAGACGATGCTGCCTTGCCTATGTAGGTGAGAGACAACTTCCTTTAGATCTCTTCCGTTGACCCAAATAGAATAAAAACTATTTATTTCAAACTATTTTACTGGAGTAAATGAATTACCCTCTGCTAGTGCACAGACTGTATGAATGAATAACTCAATGTTGTTGTGAATTACATTCTTCATGTAACATCTTTCTTAAGAGTTAGCAGGGGAAACACGAACCTACATTTTTCTCTGCTTAAGGATTGTTAAATTGTATGCACGTTCACTTGTATTGATGTTCCACTGAAAATGAGACCCAGAACGTCTAACTTTGCATTGCAGAACAGTAAGTGATAGGCTAGAAAGCTAGTAAAGCCATACCGAAAAAGTAGATACATCTGGCTAACAAATCTCAAATAAGATGAAACACTCACTCCGCATCCCACTTCTGACGATTAACAAACAAAAGACCACGCAGTTTTTTCATTGTTTATTAGTGAGTGACCAGATGCATTTAAAATTCTGTAACATAATTAAAGTGAACAAAAAGTTGTCCCGAACATCCTTTTTGTCTCGTTAGAATAGGGATCGGGATACGTCTGCAGACCATTTCAACTTGACTTAGTTTGGGCTGAACGACTCTTCAGGATCGGTGTCTTCTTCTTCTTCTTCTTCTTCTTCTTCTTCTTCTTCATACAGTTTTTTTCTAAAATCTCATTGAGGTTAAAGATGTTGAAGTATAGAACCGCGCTCCTACTTTTAATAATGATATGAAGAATCCAATAAATGTATATTAAGCCCATATAAAAGAAAACATAACCATAACTGATTTCAGGTTGGTATTCATCATGGATTGACATCAGTTGGAGGAACATTAGAGACCTAGGAGCACCAGATAGCTGTTTCGTCCTAGTATCGGACCCCTGGAGTTATGGGTGCGCACTGCTGAGGAGTCCGGTGCTAGGACGAAAGGGCTATCCAGTGCTCTCAAGTTTCGAATATCCCTCCAACTGATGTTAGTCCATGATGAATTCCATCGTGGAATCAATTAATAAACCTCCACAAAACTTTAGATTGAATAACCTTAATTATTGAATTAAGCTCAAGTTATGCGATGAGCCAAAAAGGTGTAGAACACATGGAGTGTTCTGATAATTACAAAGAAGCTCTAGGAAATCTTGTTGGCGCAGATAACATTATAGTGGAATAGGATATTTAGTGGAATCTAATTCTAGAGAAAATCTTGCTTTATTTCATCTATAAAAATGGATGTAATGTCTCTGTAGAAGAGTCACAAGCATTCAACTATGCTGAAATTTATTACGGTTGAGTCGTAAAACTCACAAAGTTGATGAGCCACTGAAAACCCAGGAGCACTGGACAGCTGTTTCACCCCAGTATGGGACTTCCCAGCAATGCGCACCTCTGATCCCGCCCCACCACTGACCGAACCCAGGATTACTACGTTTCGCGACGAGCACTTAACCATTAAGCCACTGGGTCGGAATCCAGTGGTCTATATTTCCTAATTCTGTTAGCTCATAATATAGAGATACCTCCATCCAATACTGTCGTTAAGTAACTGTCCTCACATCCAACTTAATTGACCCCACTGGTCATGAACTTCTCACTAGAACCATTTGATTTCAACCCAGTGGTTTAATGACAACGTACTTCCCAAGGAAGCTGATGGTCTCGGGTTCGATTCCTGGCAAGGTGATGGTTAGGCACTACTGACAAGTCCCATGATAGGACAAAACGACTCTCCAGTGCTTCCAAGTTTTCGATGGTCTTCCAAATGGTGTCAGTCTGCAATGAATATCAGCCTGAAATCAATAAATAAATCCCCACAAACCTCCAAACTGAATTGTTATGCAAAGTA